GCCTTGTTTGGTGTGTGATCAATTTCCACTTCGATATAAACTTTGAACAACAACAACAACAACAACAACAACAACAACAACAACAACAACAACAACAACAACAACAACAACAACAACAACAATTTATTGTCATTGTAAGTATATACTCATCATAGGCATCCTTCAGTCTTGAAAGACTATGGTGACATGCTCTGAATTGAGGAGTGTCCCCTCCAGAGGATGAAGCCTGGGTAAAGTAATATGGATACAACGAAATTCACAGACACCCAGAGACCAGACACATGCACACACATAAAATTCCCCAAACACTCCCCACCCACTAAAAGTCCCCCACTAAAAATACAAACATCTACACCGCAGGCCAAGTAACATAGTCCAACTAATTATCCACTACTGCTGGTCTTTAAGCTCATTATTAATTGCAATTATAGCTCTGGGATAAAAATTATTGAGAAAACGTGTGGTCTGAGTCTTAATTGTTCTATATCTTCTGCCAGATGGTAACAGTTCAAAAAAGTTATGAGCAGGATGGGAAGAGTCTCTCAGGATGCTATGTGATTTCCTTAGATAGCGGGATGTGAAGATGTCATCCAGGGTTGGTAGCTGGAGCCCGATGATATTCTGGGCAATTTTAATGGTTCTCTGTAGAGCTTTTTTGTCCGCTACAGAGCTACTCCCAAACCATGCCAGAATGCCATAGGTTAGGACACTCTCAATGGTGCTACGATAGTATGACAGAAGCAAATGCTGAGATAAATTTAACTTGCCGAGCATTCTCAGGAAATACAGCCTCTTCTGTGCCTTCTTCATTAGCATGTTGGCATTTATAGTCCATGAGAGGTCCTCTGAGATGTAAGTACCCAGAAATTTAAAACTACCAACTCTCTCCACTTCCTCACCGTTTATGTACAGTGGTAAATGTACATATCTCTTCCTCCTAAAATCAATTATGAGTTCTTTAGTTTTTTTGATGTTAAGTGTGAGATGATTTTCTTTACACCAAAGTATCAACCTTTGTACTTCCTTTCTATAAGCAGACTCATTGTTCTTATTTATGAGCCCCACCACTGTCGTATCATCCGCAAATTTAATAATTGCATTGGTGTTATACAGTGGGGTGCAATCATGTGTGTACAGGGAATAGAGGAAGGGACTTAGCACGCAGCCCTGGGGAGCTCCTGTACTTAGTACCAGGGTAGAAGAATGGTGAGATCCCATCCTTACTGACTGTGGCCTATCTGTCAGAAAATCCTTTATCCACATGCAGATCTCCTGAGGTAATCCCAGGTTGATCATTTTAAAAAACAACCTATTTGGTAGAATGGTATTAAAAGCAGAGCTATAATCCACAAACAACAGCCTCGCATAAGTTCCCTGATGTTCTAAGTGGCTCAATACAGTATGGAGTACAATGGACACATTATAAAAAAATTATAATAAGTTTTATAAATTTTTTTATAATAAATAATCATAAAAGGATATTGAGAAAGAAACCATGTTATGTTGTGTTATGTTTTAGGTTTTGTAATCATTTTTTACATGCAACACCTAATCTGTAAGACCTTTTCTGCTAGTGGAGGAGTATCTTTGGGTCCTAGCCATCATGTTTATTAGTAAATAACATAAACAGTTAATCTAATTCTGTGGGTGATTTGGGAAAGCTGTGCTTTAGAGGAGACAGCATATGCATTGGCTAATTGAAATATATTAAAAATAAAAGTATGTGTGTGTGTGTGTACATAAGGTTGCCATAGTGGAGGAAGCTATAGCTAATTTCATGACAGAATCCTCCCACATCTATTTTTTCTGTAAAATAAGAGTCAATATCATATAAGATGCTAATACCCACTCTATTCAGCACTGCTTAGGCCTCATCTAGAATACTGTGCCCATTTCTGGACACTGCACTTTACGAAAAATGTAGATAAACTGGAGCAAGAAGGCAACAAGGATGATCAGAGGGCTAGAAATCAACTCTATGAGGAAAGACTGAAAGTGGGTATGTTTAGCTTTGGGAAAAGAAGACAGAAGGGAGATATGATGACACTTTTCAAATACTTGGAAGGTATCCATACAGAGGAGGGGCAGAGTACAGGGCATGTAATAATGAGGTGAAACCACAGGAAGCTAGATTTAGGCTGAATATCAGGAATAACTTCTTAACTTTTAGAGCAGTACGACAATGGAAAGAATTACCTTAGAATGTAGTGAGTGCTGTAGTGTTGGAGGCACTCAAGAGAACTGGACAACCACCTGTCAGATTTGCTTTGATTTGGATCCACTCATTGAGCAGGGGGTTGGATCTGATGGCTTTATAGGCCCCTTCCACATATTCTACAATTCCATGATTCTAAGAATCTTACAGCTCTCTATGTTGACACAGGCACAGTAGTCTGCCCAAACCAAGGATATGATGTAAGCTTTCATTTTTCTTTTCTTTTGTCCTGACTAGTATTTTGTGGCTAAGGGTTTACATTAGCAGCATATGGTTAACATGTTTATTTAGAATAGGGTGGACACTATTCCATCACACAGAAAGAGGATATGGAGGGATAGGATCACCAGAAAGGAGGATTTCGTTCCCAAAAAGGGAGGGGATATTTTTGTATTAAAGTTGCACAAACTAGTATGTGCAAATATCATTAAATCGGACATATTGTACAGAATTGTCACTAGATAACCATCTTGGGACATAGCATGGATAGAAATATGAGATATATTGTAAATCAAATAAACAAATTAGGCATAGTATTTATTAACTCTCTGAAACGGACATAACAGAAGTCACTGCAGCTTTGCTGAGATAGCCATCTAGGTAACAATCAGTTCTTTCTGATGAATGGTCCAAAGGGTACTTTCAGAATGTCTAGTCATGGGACTGACCTCACATCTGTTCATATGCCATATCTTCCCTGCTGTGCATCAGTGGTCATATCAGTATGTTCAGTTTACATTCTTTCTTTCAAAATGACCCCCTACTTTTACTCCACTGAACCACATTATTTAAAAACTGATTTTGGTACATTTACCCATCAAACCATATTCTTTCTGTTCTTAGCTGGGGAAATTCATGGGTGACAACAGGTGCAGGGGCGGGTAGGCGAATAAAGTGTGGGGGGCAGATAAGATCACTTACATATCACCCAAAATAAGGACACAGATCACCAAAACGGAGAACAGCTCTTCAAATGGGGGCCCATCCTCCCTGAAGGAGATTCATGCAGCTATCCTGAATCAGACCTGAGCTGCACCAAGTTAAATGGGATATCCTAGGAAGTTGTTGTTTAGTTGTCAAGTCGTGCCCGACTCTTCATGACCCCATGGACCAGAGCGCACCAGGCCTTCCTGTCTTCCACTGCCTCCCGGAGTTTGGTCACATTCATGTTGGTAGCTTCAACTAGGAAGTATGCTGCCCTTTTTACAGGTCAATAGCTGCAAAACACAGAAATATGCCTTGCATTAGTACCACTGAAATGAAGAGGATGGTTGGTACATTGCCATTAATTCCAGCATCTTTGTTAGGGCTGACCACTGGAAGACTGTTAGGTAAAAAGAAGCAAGACCCTCAAATGACAGGTGCTGAAGGGAACCCCCTAACTGTTCTTCCTGAGCCCCCTGGCCATTCCCTTTTCTTGGAGGACAGAGCTTTGTGTGGCACACAGCTTGACTTGCACCCCTTAAAATTGGTGCACTATCCTCAGATCTTGTTGGGGGAGACATCTATATGTGGGCCTCCAAGGATGTGGATGTCCTATCCTTGGATAGGATTTCCAAATGGTGTCCTCTTTGTGAAGTCCAAGTCTGATTTAAGTTTGGAGCAGGAGATAACGGACCTTGAAGTTGACCATTTCAAGGTGGGCACATTGAAATGGTGACCACCTCAAAAACAGACTCAACGGGGAATTGTATTTAAATTATAAAAATTATTTCATTTATTTATTTTTATTTATTTATTGAGCTCATATGTTGCCCATTTAGACATAGTCTACTCTGGGCGGCTCACAAAATACGTAATAAAAACAATTAATATGAAATAACAGATTCCAACATTAACACAAAATCAGAATAGATAAAGAAAGAGAATTACACAGTGTCCGGAGGGAAGGCCTGTCTATATAACCAGGTCTTGTATCTTTATTTATAAATCACAATATACCATTTAATGCATATCAATGTCCTCCTTGATCCCTTTTTGAGAATGCAGAGAACTGTAACCCATTACCAGTGTTAATGTAACATTCATTTGTCACTAAATCAACTTCTACGCATAGAATAGATGGCGAAAAAGCACCACCGTGTTCTCAGACAGAAAAAAGATGGTTTAACCAGCTCTGGCATTTGTGCAGGAAATGTTCCCAACAAATGTGTTCCAGAACTTTGAACTCTTACTTTTCTAGCCCTCCAGACTCTTGTTGGCTAAAGGATCATGGGAGTTAATTATCCAAAAACTAACATTTATGAGTTCTAGTTGGTATTGTTGTGTCAATTAGCTTACTGTTCATTTTAATACTTTTTCTTTCCCAAAGCCTTCAAAAACAAGCAAAGATATACATACAAACAACTTAGGAAGTCACATTTACAATGGAGGTCTGTAAGTATGTTTGTGAGATTAAGGCCCACGACTCTCAGAGGGTCCCAGGAGACTGTGCCCAGGATTACAGCTTTAATTTAGCAAGGCTGCAAGGCTTAGTATTAAAATACTCCTGCTAAAGACATCTCTTTTTTACCAGCTGTGTTTCCCTGACTATTCAGTTGCGTCTAATTTCCTGACATACACTGCATGGCACAAAAGGGAAGCTGGCTGCATTCAATAGAGAAAGAAAGCCCAACACAGCTTTTTATTGTGGATAGAGAATACATGGCAGGTCACGTGATATACTACTCTGCCTCCTATTGGTTGGCTTGGCTATCCATCAGTTGGCTACAGAGAATACTAGCTCAGGTTTCTGTGCTACACATGAACAGATGAGCCGTGTCTGAAGGGATTGCTTGATTTCTCAATGGAAAGCAACATTACCATTAAGCTTTTACTTCTCTTTTTCTGTGTAGGATTTTCAGCATCTGTGGACCAAATGTTTGGAAGAATGGAGAGAAGGTTAGTGATTTTTCTGAATAGGTGGGTGTAGTTGTACGTGAATGAATGGCTTATACAGTATGCTTGTGCATGAGAAGAACCTAAACGTTTTCTATCAAGAAGGTGAGGATTTGAGGCTTTTCTGTCTTAAAAACTGCAGAATTCCAACAGAAGCAAATCTTTCATCTCTAAAGATGCTGTCTGTTTACTTAAAAGCAGGACTGTTACCAGTTTCTGTTGAGAAAGTACTGTGTGTTTCAGATTGAATGGATCCTCTTTCACATGATTTTTCCATTTCAGTCTGAAAGAGATTTGTGACTTTGTTTTCCTTCTGAAGTGTTCATAACCAAGATATAAATAAAACAGCATAGGTGTGAAACATACACTCAGAAACACTGTTGCTGCGGTTGTGGAACAGATTTTTGAGAGGAACATTATGTGGATGCAGGTTCAGCTGTACCAGAAAACAAGCCACACTGTTTAACCACTCATGTTTTTGTTACTGTGACATATTTGTGCAAAACAGATGTCAAATATTTCAGCAGGTGTTTGAGATGAGGAAAGTTACAAGGAGGAATAATTATAGAAATAAAAATTGTTGATCTAAATTAGATACCTCATGGTTTACAGTCAGTAATACTGTATGTTAAAACACGGGTCAGATAATGATGATAAAGCTCGCAGCTAATGATGTAACGTCTGTGTGTTTAGGGTAACAGGGGCATGTGGTGCTTTGCTTAAGCTTGCATAAAGCGATCTGTGGATCAGTTAACCGATGAATTAAAGCATACTGTAGCATTTAGGTTGTTTATTTGCTGTAATAATGGTAGAATCCCAATCAGGTAGTGTTTCTAAATACTGGTCGGTTGTCATGATATACAATGATGCAACTTAACTGAATTAAAAAGAAACTTTGCAGTGTCTGGTCACAAGTTAGTCTGGAAGTTCTAGATTTTCTGTTGTTGAGTACAGGGTCATACCCTTGAGGCTGAATTAGACCCAGAGTTATTTGTTAGACTACAGTAGACCCATTGAATCAATGGGCCATACACAAGTGTATGCTTAACAGTTCTCATTCATTTGATGAGTCTGCTTTAACGGGGCAGGATTTAGTCCTTGGACTGATATGCCTGAAACTTCATCCTCAACTTATTTTTGTAAAAGCCTGAATTGATTGGTAGTAAGCATGAGAAACTTAACATATGAATTCTTGGGGGGGGGGGAACAATGCTTATTTTCACCACCACAATCCTTGTTAAATTTGCCAGCATTGAAAATAAGGGAATTAGAGAAACAAACTAGATTTTGCAGGAACTGAACTTTCAACGGTGGAGTTCCTTTCAGAATTGTAGCTTCTTGGAGGCTTTTAAAATCAAGTGTCTATTAAGATGAGGATTATCCAACCACAACTCTAAAGAGGGGTACACCTAAGCTGTATTGTCCTGAAGATACTGCATGCAGTGTGTTGTGCAAAGCAAGAAATGTCTTTCAGTACAGTATTTGTGCACTATGTATTAAGGTCTTCTATGTTTTGTCCTGAAGATACTGCATCCAGTGTATTGTGCAAAGCAAGACGTATTTGTGCACTATGTATTAAGGTCTTCTTAAACTTGTTTGGAAAGCTAGATTCAGTGTGGTTTAAACAAAAATGAGACAGAACACTTTTTTAATTTCAGTGGTCAGCTGGTGCATGGTGTGTGTGTGTGTAAGAAATAAACTTAAATCTCAGAAGTCAAGTCCTAAAAATTTGTGGGTGAGATGACATGTTTGCAAAATACTAATTTTTGAACTTTAGGAAGCAAACTAGCCACGACTGACCATTGTTTTAAACTAGTAACCAAAAATTTTGGAATGACTCTTGTTGCTGAAATTAGTATGGAGAGCAGGATGGCCTGATTTTGTTTCCATATTTTTTTAGTTTCTTACTTTACGGTTTGGTGCTTTGCAATTTTTGTGCTTTCTGTATTTTTGGGGTTGGTTGTTAATGGAACTCCAAGGTATGTTTTTCATTGGTGTCTATCCAGAAGTAGAATTTCCAGATTATTAAAATTAACATTTTCCCATGATAAATTGCTTATCCCAGCATAGTACTGTGCTGTCATTTCCTAAAACTGGAGGTGGCTAGAAATTATAATATGGACAAAAATTTGTGAGTAATCATTTACATTCTAGCCCATTGCTGAAAAATGATTTTTGCACATATAATTTGTGATGCTTCTATTACTACTATTATTGTTTACAATTCTATACTGCCTTTCTACTAAGGCCTAGCATTCAAAGGATACACACTTCCTTTAAAAAGAATGAAAACAAGTTAAGAACAAACTTAACAATAAAATAGGTAAATATTGTGATAACCAACACAGTTCTAAGATCATGATAATGTTCATTAAAGTCAATACAACACTAAATTAATGTCTGTTTTAAAGGTCAGATTGAAGAGATGTCTCTTCATGTTTAGTGTCAAAGTTACTAGGAATAACAACATTTGGACTTTGGAAACTGAAGGTACCAAGGTCCCTGGGGCATTGGAATTACTGTTATGGTGGTCTGTTTGGACTGTGAAGGGTTACTGTTGAAGGCTGGCATCATCCTGTGCAAACTGTTGGGGTCTGATTCAGTGTGATGTGGATCTCAGAATCTTTCTGATTGTCCGGGAGACTGAATGCTATCAAGTACATTTTGCTCTTCTTTAGTTCTGAGTCTAGATCCTGAATATTTATGGAGTTCCTGAGTGTCTATGGATTCAGTGTGCCTATCACACTCCTGGAGCATCCCTAGAAGAAGAGAATGTAGACCACTTCTACTCTATATGTAGAAAATGCAGGATGGGCTGGTTTGTGGTTCGAGGAATCCCATTTTGCCAAAATGAAATGAAGTGCTGAACTTCGCTCCCCTCTTCAGGGCTTCATTTTGCTTCAGCAAAAGAGGATGCTCACCTCTCCCCTTGCTGTTGTAGCCTCCCTGTTGTTGCAGGTCAAAATTTGTATCCTAATTTGTTGTCCGGCAAGGGATCAAGCAAGACGCAAACAACCGAACCAAAGTCCAATTTTATTGAAAACAATACAAAGTCATTTGGGACTTCTCTTAACAGCAGAGAAGCCCCTGAAAATACAATATACAGATATTTTATAACATAACAAACAAAGAGCCATCAAGTTCTACAATTCTATTGGTCTGCTTTTCCTAAAATTAGGATCTTGCCTCTGATTGGTTAATGATGACAAAAATTATAAAGTTATTGGCCCCCTGTAGATATAGGTAAAATGCTCAAACTCCCCTTTGGCCTGCCCCAGCAATTCACCTTTGTGTCAGGAGGAATGTGTACAGTGTTGCCTCGCAAGACGAAATTAATCTGTTCCGTGGTTAATGCTGTCTAGCAAAAAATTCATCTTGCAAAGAGCGTTTTCGCATAGGAATGCATTGAAATTTAATTAATGTGTTCCTATGGGGGGGGAAAAGTCAGAAACCAAAAAAAAGTCAGCAAAAAGTCACTTACCAGGTACAGTAGACTGAGCCCCGCTCCTCACAGTGCCTTTGTAGCCCTGGAACAGCTGGAAAAAGAGCGCCAAACAGCGGAGAGTCAGCAACCAGCATGGAGCCGGCAGCCATTTTGTGGTAGTCTCCACTCCTGCCCCTCCCTCTCCCCGCCTCTCAGCTGATTTGCGCTGGGTCTAAGAGGCTTTTATCCTGCTAGGCAAGCCTAGGGAAGCTTCTTAGACCCAGCACCAAAAATCTCTCAAGACCCTTTTGTCTTGCAAGTTTTTTGTCCTGCGAGGTATTCGTCTTGCGAGGCACCACTGTATTCCAGTTCCCTTATCTATTGATATGTTTATGTGGCCTTCCTGAAACTCAATGTATGGCCTTCAGAAATCAGCTCCCTGCTGATTTTATGTTGCGGCTATCTCCTCATTGTGTTCTAGCAATATTCCTAAGCTTGGCCATCTGCTAATCAAAAGTGAGTGGGCAGAAGGTGAGAAACAGAGGAACTTTATATTGTACTAGCAAAGTATGCGTTTCTCTGGCTAAATGTGAGAGGCCTGTTCACCTCTGAAACTGTGTTTGAGTATATCCAGGTATCACTACCTTGTTTTAAAGCTGCCGCCGCCACCACCTCTGCTGCTGCCATCCTGAGAGTTGGCAGGTCTGGCAGCAGAGGTGGCAGCGACGGCTTCAAGACAAGGGAAGGAGGGGAGGGTGGGAGAGGGAGGGGCAGTCAGGTAGTTTCCCTCCTCCCCAGCATGAACCTAAAAAATCAACTGTGAACCAGTTTGTTTTTTGAGGTGGGGTTCATGATAGTTTGTAGTTCGTGGGTAGCAATGAACCATCACAAATCGCCCATTTTCCAGTGCATGCCCATCACTGGTTATATACAGTATTATTAAAATACGTAACTATAAAGATAAGAGTTCATAATATGTAATATGTAGTAAGTTTGAATAATGTGAATATATAACTTTCTGTTTTAGAAATCTTGTCTGCCTCCTTCTGAGGCAAATATTCTTAATATTTGATATGTACGTGTAGAAAGAACTTATTGGTTTTTAAAAGCACCCCTTGCCTTTTTTAGATTTGCAGTTTAAGGTCTGCAATTTGTGGTCTGCAAGTAAACTGAAGTTCATCAGTAATGAGGCAGTGTTAAGATGGACAGTCATTTAATGATTGGTATCATGATCTGGAAACATCTACCCAAATTTATGGACTGGTTCACAATGTAATTATACAGGCTACATATTGCCCCTTACAGCAAGCTAGGTACTCAATTTTCCAACCATGGAAGGACGAAAGGCTGAGTGAACCTCAAGCCAGCTATCTAAGCCCAGGATCAAACTCAGATCAGGAGCAGAGTTTTCACTGCAGTGCTGCAGTTTAACCACAAAGCTTCTTACCTCCTTCACACCAATAATTGTTTACAACTGAGCCTGAGAACAAGTTTTAGAGAACTTGAAAGGCTGCACACCATTGTATATATGTGGTTGGTTCTAATAAATTTATCGCCTACCTGTGAGTTTTAAAGATTG